TTCCTGCTGCTCCCCAAAACCAAAAGAAACCCTTCAAACCTTAGCAGATCTTACCGCACGCATGCAGCAGTATAGCAAGCCTCAGGAAATAGCCAGATATCAACTATTCCATCACCTTTTTATTCCCTCAAAAGCTTTTTCTTTTCCTATCCCACTGCACTGAAGTTTTTGTATAGGTTTTTTTCCCCCCCAGAAATATAAGCTGTCCTATGCAAAAAGGGGGGAAAACAATAATCTATTTCCATCATGGATTTACTACCTTTTCCTCAAACATACAGTCCGCAGTTATGAATTAACATACCTGCTTCATTTCTTACAGCTCATACTTCCCTGTGAAGTCACTGAAGTTCATGGAATTATCCATACTGCGAAAGGCAAAGAACCTGCGTTACGGCCCTTACCCCTTCTGCTTGAAGGGACTCGCAAGGTTCAGCCATGGCATCTCCCACAAAAAGACCAAATGGGAAACTGCAATGGCACAGCACAACGGAGAGGTATTTTCTAACCACCGCACGCTGTAGACAGAAACCAGAGATCTCTCTCACAGGGATAATTCACCATCATGAGAAATAGGTTCAGTCTGTGCTTGCAACCAGCAAGACACATTTTCCACGCGCAACAAGACAGCTAACACAACTCTGGCTGAAGTGTTGACCTCTGGATGCAGCAAATGCGCAATCAGCCAGGAGAAGGAGACAGAAAGAAGAGCCAAGTTCTTTTCAGAAAGGAAAAAGCACTCGAAGAAAAAAGAAAAAAAACATAGTAAGAGCTGTTACCTGATATCTTCCGAAAGAAGGGAACAGTCGCTGGTTTCGTAGCTGTAAACAACAGAGCCACAGAACTTTAGGAACGGCAGCCCATCTTCCAAAACGCTCCTCTGAACAGTCGAATTCTGTCAACCAACATTCAGAAGAGCCTCTGTTACTGGCCACACCTAACCTCACCACAGAGACGCATCAGGACTGCAACCGCTGCATGTGGCTTTAATGCTGTATCCCAGCAAGGCTGGCACCGGTGGCTACCGAAACCTTGCAGCAGAACTGCGCTCCACACGCCGGGCCGGTATCAGCATCCACCAACAGCAGGGTGACACCTCCCCTTTACAAAAACATTCAGGCTCGTGCCCCGATTTCTTTGCTTAAATCCAAGCACGCAGACTGAAATCGTGCAGGCAGATTTTTCACCTCCATTTAGTTTAGTTGGATTCTTCCCGCCACAGAGATTCAGTAGCTCTCCAAGAACAAGGTTAGGGAAAAAAAAAAAAATCCATTTTCAGTAGTGTCAAAACCCCCTCGACACTACTTCAAAACCTGTAACAGTAGCACACCTCAAATACGAGGAAAAAATATTTAAAAATGGACAATAAGTCATTTTTCAAGTCATTCAAGCCTGGTCAGGCTAAAATCCTCTGACACCTCTCCATTTTGGTACAGCTGTATGCAATAGCTCAGTTTCCTCATTTCCTTGCTCCCACATTTCAGCCAGCCCACTTCACTTAACCCTGCCAGATATAACTTGTGAGGAACTCCACAGGTTTAAAACCACATGCAATATTTGAAAGGAGCAGTATCTTCCATAAACAGATGAATACTGGTTTACAAATGGAAGCTTTAAGTGCACAAGATAAGGTGAAATGTAACATTTCAGTTGGCATTTTTACCCCCCCTCTCAGAAGTCTATTTACGAAAAGTTACTGACTGATAAACGTACTTGGATTGCAAAACTTCCAATAACCTTGACCTGCCTGAAAAACCTTTGGGTTGGTTAAAAACATCCAAGTGAACGGCAATGCCAGTAACAACAAATATGGTTAATTGTCACACAACACCTGAAGAACAAAACCATCTTGCCAATCAGAAGAGGCCACAACACACAAAACAGGTTTTAATACCATTTCAGAAACAGTAAGTTGCCTGGAAGGGGGAGGTTCTGAAACAAAGATACTGCTGATTTTATGCTTGCACAACAAAAGATTTCCAGCAGATAATGAAGCGTAAAAGTTCAATCAAAACCCCTCCTCAAAGAGCTCGTTGAAGCAGGGTGCCACAGCACACAGGCTGTACCACAGCGAATGCACGCCATGTTGGCTTTAACTGACAGTTTTCAGTATCCATGCTACTCACTTTTTTTTTACTCCCACTTTACAGAGGGAAAATTGCTGAACTGAGTCTTCTGCTTTTCTCTCATTAATTATTTTTCCAATCATTAAAGCAGTTTCAGGTGTTACAGGGGGGGTCCCTTCCTAGGGGGAACTTTTATACTGAAACTGCTCATATTCACAGGAAAAAGAATCCAAGGACATATTAAGATTCTTGGAACACCAGAAATTAACATCATCTTGATGATCAATTAATTCCTCTGATACCTCTGATCTGCAAAACCTTCTGAAACACTGAACATGTGCAAATGCAGAAAGCCGGGGGGCTTTACCAGAACAGACTCCCCTGTCATGCTGCAATTCCAGGTCATTGCTTTTTGACCTCTCAAATTACATGCATGAAAAATCCCTGGTCCTCGCTGGTGTACAGCCCACAATACTGGGCAAGGATTGCATCTAAAAGCATATGTGCATCAAAAAAATTCCCTTATACTTAGGTTGTTTTGCCACTGAAATTCAAGACTGCCAGGAAGAAATTTCTACAGAGAGAATAGCAACAGCCCTTGGTCAATACATGATATTTTAATTAAAAGAGGGACTTTAACAAGATAAGAATACCATAAATAACATAAGAATACCTAAATTTAATTACAGTTCATTGGACAAGACATCTGTGAACACTCTCAAGTATCAGAAGCACAGGCCTAACTAAGAGCATGTGGTACAAGGTTGTTTTATTATGCAGCCTGCCACCACCTAAAATCCCCACATGTGATGACATACCTTTTTATCACCCAAAACTCCCTCTTGAGTTTGTGTAAGCATCCACTGCGGATATTTATTCTGCAAATCCGTTTTATTCATTTTTTCCACATTTCTGTTACTTCTACAAAAGAAGAAAAAAAAAATAGTACCATCAGTAGTTTCTACAGATACAAGCTGTTGCTATCATCAGGCCAGAACAAGGTTACGGAAGATGACCACCTTAAACTTAAAATGCTTCGTGCACAAGAACAGACATTTACAGAGCTGCCCACGCTGAACTATCAAAGAGCTTTTAGGTATTATATTCTTGTTCACATGTCGGTAAGAAAAACAAGAAAAAAAATAGGAAAAGCTTTTAAAGTCCTTCTGGGAGGGAAATTTCAGTCTAGTTTCATGGACATCAGTGACTCAGAAGAACACACCTACCACAATCTAGTCAACACAGCCCTCATTAATTAGACAAATTCATCTGGTGTTTTAGATAACAGCATAGGAAGCGGCCACCTAGCTTAAAAGCAGTCAGCTGCATTTGCTGACAGATTACGTCAGAAAAAGTCAAGTTCCAAACAAGAACTATCAGACTCTCACAAACGTTGCCCAAAGTCCCGCATTTCCTGAGCGGGACCTCAGTGCTGCAAGCCCACAACCTAAATGAAAACCACGCAGAATTTCTAGGGCAAACTACAGCCACACAAGGCACACGCCGCTAAAGCTCTCCAGTGCAGATCGGATGATGACTGAGGTTTCTTATGACTTCACCAGCCCCAGATTCAAACCGAAGGAGCTCACCAAGCAAGAGGCAGCCTATTCCCAGGGCGTCCCTGGAAAGGGAAGGCGCTGCAGAGAAAAGTAAGAGCTATTTCAGTTTGGAAAACACACTGTCTGAAACAGCAGGAGTTTTTCAGCTCTGACAACTGGGAGTTTCTTTCAGGGAAGTGGAGCAGGATTTCCTAGTTGGGAGCAAACGACGACTGGATCAGAGCTATTCCTGCTTCTCCCCGGACCGCTTCTAGGGCCATTTAGAAAGTCTCCTGGAGATGGAGCAAAACAGTCCACAACAAAGAAACTTCTCGTCCTGCTTCTTCACTTTAACAATACGCTTTAACAAAAAATTGGGCCACTACTGTCTCAGTAAGAACATATTTTCCAGCTGTACTTCCTCACCAACATTGAAGTACAAATTCTAGACAAACTGCGCTGTTTCAGTTCTTCAGTACTCAAAAAGGCCTTTTGATTTTTTAAATTGCTTATTTAGGCTAGGCAGGCTTTTTCCCTTGGTTACCTGTCCACTTCTGCAGCAGCATAACCAACTACCACCTACAAGACAGCTTCAAAAAGTACTAAAACACCGGAACAAGAACAAAATAGCCACTAGCAAGATGCCTCAGCCAGAGCCACTCCATTCCTGGGACCTGCAATTGCTGGGAACAGGAGAAAGCAGCAGAGGCTCAGGACAAGCAGGGAAAGGGCACCCTGCAACACCCGCTTCGGCAACAGGCGTTCCAAAACCCAGCTAAAAGCGCAAGGGGACCTTTGGCACCCGCACCAGGGGAGCAAGCACCGCTCGCTGCGGTGTCACCCACCTTTCCGGCGTTAAACCCAAAACCTGAGCTTGCGAGCGCTGCCAGCCAAGGACGAGGAGACCGGGCCTGCTCCCAGCCGGGGACAGGCGGCAGCGAAGGCGGAAAAGCCCTCACGCAGGGCCCAAACCGCTTTATCTCCTCAGGGGAAGACGGCACCCCCGCCGCCGGGCGGGCCCGAAGCGATCGCCCCAAGCCCAGCCGCGCAGCGGGAGCTCCCGCGGGG